TGCACTTACACTTATTCTTAGACTCTTAAGTTCTGCCCCTCTCTTATGAGCCTTGCTTTGGGGACCTTGAGTTCCCTCTGAACTTGGACATCTGAGGGCTGACATTTCCACACTGCACTATGTTCTTAATTCTGCAATGTTTTGGGGTGTAAGCATTGCCCAGAGTCCTTTTGAGACTCTTGGGAACTTTGAGACACTCCAAATATGAGAAAGTCTTTTGGAAATCTGATCCTGGAAGTTGGTTCATCTCATATTGTTGGACTTCGAGTCTGAATTAGGCTGTTTAGATGTAGCTGGAACTTCTGATGTAATTTTACTTTTTTTTCTTGATTCATTCTGGTCTGTAATATTTTGAAATAACTATGGGGTGTATAGTAAGAATGGGGGGAGGGTCTCTCATGTTATGCATATGGGGTAGATATCATGCTTTAGGTTCTATTTCTGCAATCACAACATTTTTCATTTATATATCTGCATTTAGAAATTCTGCCTATAAGATTGTTTCATCATGCATTTAGAAACCCTGCCTATAAGTCTTTATAACTTCTGCATTACTGCATTTAGAAAACATGCCTATAAGTCCTGCATTTCTGCATTTTAGAAAGAATGCTTATAAGTTCTGCATCTTAGAGATTATGCCTATAGGTTCTGCATATAGAAAACATGCCTATAAGTTTTTCTGCACTTCTGCATATACCCGCCATTAGGCAAATAATCTTAGGTTTAATAATAACCAATCCATTCTAGATATCATGGCTATAGGGTTCTTGCATTTATGTAGCTTTTTTTAAAACCAATGACACTTAGAGATCATGCTTATAGGAATGAATCAACTGAACCAGTCCCGTTTTGAATCTAAAACCAATCTTAAAGTCTGCAGATCCTTTTCATAAAACCAGCAAACCTTTCCTTAAAATCAATATAGCTCTGTTAGATATCATGTCTATAGGTCTCACTTAGGCAAACCATTAGGTAAGTAATTAACTGCATCAGTCTTTGATAAATTACAACCAGGAAAGGCTAATTCGGACTCCTCATCTGAGAAATATGTGATGAATCAGCCTATCCTATGCTTTAATTTAATTCAGACCATAACCAGTACTTGTAAGTCATGCTAGCCAATTTGTTTCTTTAAATGAGGAGGCGTGTTTGATCCCTTTAACTGTTACGTGTTCTCCCATACCT